GCTGACTTTGCTTTTAGTGGCTAGACCTAAGCAAGATGAACACTGCAAGAGGTGACAGAAGGACAATGGTATTATAGGCTGAACTGTATCCTTTAAAAGTCATAATTTGGGCCAGTGTGGTGGTGCACACCTGGAATACCAGCTTTTGATATTGGCTGAGACAGGAGGATCACTGCAAGCTTGAGGCCAGCCTACACTACATGGCAAGGCCTTGTTTCAAAAATCAAAAACACAAAACTCACTGGGGATACAGCTCAGTGGCTCAAGCTCCTGTCTGGCAAGCACAAGGTCCTTAATTTGATTCCCAGTACCAAATCCCTACCCCCATATGTTGAAGTCCTAACTTCAAATCTTTTTTTAGAACCTGGGCCACTGCAGGTGTAATTAGGTAGGTTAAGAGGAACAGGACGTTTTCAAGGAAAACTGATATGGGGAGGCTGAAGGCAGGCACTGGGGTGACAAAGTGGAAGGCTGATTGCCAAAAAGACTGACAGCAAACTACCAAATAGCAGGAGACTATTAGGAATACACTCCCTTCACCCTTCAAGGAACCAACCCCGCAGACACCTACATCTTGGGTTTCTTGCCCTACTGCTCAACTGTGAGACACTCATTTCTGTGTAAGTCACCTGATCCATGGCATTTTGTAATAGCAGCCCTGGGACACAAACAGTGACTTACACCCCATTTTTTTTCCATTGGAACCATAAGTATGTATGTCTTTACAATGCCCTTTCATAAGCAAAGTGAAAGTTCCACTGTGAAATTACTATTCTACAATGTTCATAATTAAAAGACTATTTTTGTATTAAAACTGACTTAAAAATAGCCAAATCATTCCTGAATTTGGAGAGAAAAATTTAATCTCTGCCCAGGCATTTGACATTTATCTTTGATATTCATTCATTCATTCATTCATTCATTCCTGGGGATCAAACTCAGAACCGTGCATTTGCCAGGCAGGCGCTTATGCCACTGAGCTATCTCCCCAGCCCTATCTTTGATTTTAAAACAAAAAACAAATTTTGCTTTTAATAGTCAACGGGGATCAGGGTATAGCTCAGTGTTAGATCACTTGTCTGGCACATACAAGGCCTTGGGCTCATTCTTCACAGTGAAAAAAATAAAACCTGCAACCTTCTAGTGTGCACGCTAACTTCACCAAATCTCATCATCACGTAATATTTACATGCACAAATAAAATGTAATAATAAGAAAAAATCCGAGGACCTTCTTTCTTTTTCCTTTCCTCTTAGAAATAAATACTGAAGCCAGTTGCAGTGGTACAAACCTCTACAGCATTGTGGGAGGTCAATACAGAGACCCAAGTTGGAGCCTTGCTTGGGTACCTCGGTGCTTCTATATCCAAACAAAAAAAGCCAGAAATACAGAGCTCAGCTGAAAGGCGCTATGGTCAACCTCCAGTACCACAAAAATAAGGAAAAATTAAATCTTTTTCATAACAGATTCAGTGACCTGAAGAAACTAGCACAACAGGCAGTAAGTCAAGAGGTCTTCTGGGACCTCTCACCCAGCAGAGGGTCAGTGTCACTGGGCAAGAAACCACATCAAGATGACCACAAACACTCTCAGTTTCAAAGTGGCAAAGGCTCTGAAACCTGACGCTGGCTGTAGGCAGCCACCCATCCTCACACATGCTCCAATATCACACACCCACTTCTAGCAACAGTTCATTTCCTACTTTAACCCATGCGTTACTGTGAAGGGTGCATGCTTTGAGGGTTTGAAGTGAAAGGCTGTGGTTGTGAAAGAAAGCTGGTCAACTCTGGGAAATTCCCAGTCTCTTTCAGATAATGTTTAGTTCCATTAAGAAGTGAAACCAAAGCAAGACTTCTTTGATACTTGGAAAATCCCCTACTCCAAAATATTTCAGCACAGGTATGAAAATAATACACTAAAACCAGAATCTCTTATATGTAAATGTAAGCCGTCTGAATTATCTATTTAAAAAAAACCTACCATCTGTGATGTCCATACAGGGCAAAGCACTTCCTTCTCTTCCAAGTTAACAATAGCTAACGTTCATTAAGCACGTATGATATACACAGTGCCAAACCGTTTATATAGAATGGATTTTTAACTTTATAAGGCAAGCACCTTTCTTATTTCCATCGTGCAGATGAGAAGAATGAAGCACAGAAAAGAAACTCCTCCACCATCACAGAGCTGCAAGTGGAGGAACTAGGATTCAACACTCCTACACACCCCAACCTTTATTAACTGCAAGCAGCTCTGGGACAGACCAGGACAGAAGCCAATAGGTGTAAAGAGAACGAAGCCAGGTGAAGGGCTGCGACTGGAGCACAGGCAGAGAGCCTTTACAGTGCAGGCTCAGGGCTGGCGGTGGGCAGTGCTCTCCCCAAATCAGTGGGACACCCTCCAGGGAACATCACTCTCCCACTTGACATGGGAGACAGGAGGCTTACAGTGATCCAAATAACCCACGGGAGGGAGCTCTACCAAGTGGCTGACCAGCCTTTCTAATTTCAAAGTCGACTCACCCCCAAGTCCTGGTCTTCTTTATGACAATATACAATTCTGCTTTTGAAAAATCAATCCAGCATCAGAGGACAGTTGTCCTGGGGCCAGCAGGCAGTCTGAGTTGTACAGTGCCAGTTGCTTAATTAATGGGTTAGTCTGAGAGGCAGGATCCAGTCCCACTTCAGGCGATTAATAAATATATGCCTTTAGCCAACTCCCCTAACCTTACTGGGCTTCTACATATTTCCTTCAAGGACTGATTGGATATAAAGATGCACGATGTTGATGTAAATACAAGGCATCACCAACAAAGAGGAACGAGCTGTTAAAATTCTAAGGTGCTCCACAGCTATCACTGCCAACTGAACAGAACCAAGCTATCCCAGTAGGTATCTGTGCCACTCAGAATGGCCCTTAGTGAACTTCACTGTCTCCTCCAGGACAGCCTGACCAGGCCTCTAAGGCCCCTTTAGCATCTGCCAATTTTCCAGTCCAAATAGGTATCAACCAGATGCTGCTAGCAATCCTCAGAGCAGCCTCTCTCCCTCAAACTCTCTGTACACTTTTCAGACGGGAAGGCATTCAGCAGGATGCCATCTAGTTAGGGCAGCCAGCACAGTGTTTCAACCTTGCTATACCACAGAACTGAGGAGGTGGTAACAGGGCAGCAGTAGCTATCACTCTCAGGTGAGAGGGGCCCACAGGGTCCAGCTGGGGAGAAGGGGGAGCGGGCACTCCACCTAGACAAGCACTAAGGCAACCCCCACAGTACCAGTCCCCAGGAAGGGGAAGGGATCAGCATAACAGTGAATCACCTATCACTTCACACAATGATCCCTCCAGGAAAGGGTGGAGAAGCCCGTCAGGCAACTGCCTACGCAAACAGGGAGCAAACAGGGCGATTCGGAAGAGCTGCAAACAAACCAGTTCAGCCCCAGTTCTCATTTTGCATAAGACTGCACTTCACAGAAAAAACAGCTAAGGAGCACCTGCTGATCCACACCAGTTGTTGGAGCCAAGGAGGAATTTTGTAAGCTCTCAGCAGGAGAACTCTGGATACAGTCCTCTTGGAAAGAACACACCAGATACTCCAATCCTTAAAGCTGGTTGCACAAAAGGCTGTGACCCAACCACCCTTGCACCTAGCAGTGCTTCCTCCAGAACTCGGGAACCCCGCATTAGCATACAGAAAGCAGGAGCCCTTATACTGGCCTGTGGTCAAGTTTCCTTGGGTTTAAGAGGTGGAACCTCTTCTGTGGATGGCCCTGGAGTGGGCACAATGACTGGCAAGGTAAAGTGGAACTTGAAAAGTTAGAAGCTTTCAGGCCTGGAAATTTAACTGCGTGGTAGAGCACACTCCCAGCACACAGGAGGTCCTGGGTTCAATCCCCAAGCCTGGGCCATAAAAGGGATTCTTCCTTATGAGACAAGCAGCTTCTCCAAATGTCTTCAGTCCTCAGGTGCCTGCAACCCCATCTCCATTCCGTCCGGTCCTCAGCCCAGATGAAGGGTCAGAAGGCACAGATACTGCTGGTCAGGACACTGTTTCCTTTCCACAGGGAAGGGTGGGAGGGAAGAGGGCGGCCAAAGAGGTGAGGGGCGTGTGGGTGAAACAAACGAGCTGTCTACTGTCTCACTAGGCCCTCTCCACCTCCTCCTTTCTATAAAAGACCCACACCCATCTGGTCACAGTGAGAGGATGATTCGTGGTGAAATGAGTTCCCTCCATTCCAAGAGAGTTTTGAATGGTCTTTTTCCTTTCTATCAAACCTGCCGCTTTTTCGGGGATGGGACTGGTAGCATGACCACGGCTTTTTACTTCAGGAAGCAGGACAAATGGACAACTGGGTTTACAGTCCGGGCAAGGCCTTCGGCTGGGAGACTAAGGGGCACGTGTCTCTTCTAACAGGCCAAGGCTGCCGTTGATCCTCCAGTGTCACACGGGTTCCCGGGAGACGTCTGAGTGCATCGAGGCACTGATCTAAGGCCGTGGGCAAGAAAAGTAACATCCCCCGCCACCCTAACCACTCTTGTCAGCCGCCAAGTACAATGTGGGAAGGTGTTGTATACACCCAAACGGATGCATTCACCTGTTTCTCATTAACCTAAAAAAGGCTGGACGTATTGGTGTACAGCTCCGGAAGATGAGGCCTGAGAATCGTATATTCGAGCCTACCCGGGGCAACTTTGTGAGTCACTGTCTCGAAATATAAATAAATAAATAAATAAACAAACAAATAAGTAAATAAATAGGGTTGGAGATGCAGTTGTGTTACAGCGCCCCTGGGCTCGATCCCCAGTACCAAAAAAGCTCCCCTGCTTTCGCCAGCCTAAAATAACCTACCGACCACATTTACACTTTGCATTCGGATTCACAAAGAGGCACAGAGTCGACCTCCAGCCTCCCAGGAGCTAAGGATGCACGAGGCGCCAGCGTGCCCTCCCCTGCCTCTTGGCGCAGCGACGCCCTACTCGCGCGCATCCTACTCTCGGGTTACCTGGCTCGCGCCTCCGCCGGCGACGGGCACCTGCTCTGCGGGGTCCGTGGCTGCCTTCTCCTCCTCGCCGGCCAAAGTACTGCTGCGCGCCGCCCGAGGCTCCCCGCCGCCCCCGGGCGCTGCCTGGCTGCCGCCGTCCACACTGGCACCGACCCCAGCGGCGGACGAGGCCGCTGCGCCCAGCGGCCCGTGGGTCCGGGCCCTGTCCCCGTCCGCCACACCGTGCACCAGCCACGCGTCCACCCGAGTGCGCGGGATAAAGGGGACCCCGAGCGCGCGCACCTCCCGGAGCAGGTGGCCCTCGAACGGCGCCGCGGGGTCCAGCTCCAGGGCCTTGGGGTGCAGGGGGCCGGAGCGCCCCCACCCGCCCGAGGCAGGGAAGGGGCTGGGCGTGTGGGCGGGGCGGGCAGGGCCGCCCAAGGGCAGCAGCTCGTCCGGGAATAGGGCGGGCGGCGGCAGCAGGTAGAGGTCCAGGTCCAGGTCTACCCGCAGCCCGGCTAAGCTCAGCAGCATGGTGAGTTGCAGGAGGCCGCCGCCGGCCGCCCCCCACGGCTTCAGGAGCTTCATCTCCCGCCCAGCGCCGCAGCCGCCCCTGCTGCCCCGCCGCTGCTCGGGCCGCGGTGGCGCGTTCGGGCCCCGCGCGCTGCGGCACCGGAGAGGCCGAGAAGCTGAACGGTGCGCCCAGGAGTGCTGCGGCTGTCGCGGGCTCTCTGAGCCCGGCACAAAGGCGCTTCCTGGCAGCGGGTTCAGTGCCTGGCGCGGTTCGGGTTCGGGCGAGGCGGAGGAGGAGCCACTTGCCCGCCGAACGCGCCGCCCCGTCCCAAGGCCACGCCCTTTCTCTGCCCGCTCCCGCCCCCAAAACGCTCTATGGGCGTGGCCTCTCGGAGCGGGGGCTCAGAGAATACAGCCCAGTGCCCTCAACGCAAAGCTTTCTGCGAGCGGAGGTTCTGGAGATTTAGTGACCCCTGGCTACCCCGTGGCACTGACCTAGCGTCCTAGCTAAACGCTCGAGTTGGGAGAGATGAGGCGGGAGTAGGTGGGTGGGAAATGACAGGGCGTGTACACTAGGGGGAAGTTGTGGGCAGCTTTGACTCCCTGGTGGCTTGTGAAGGCTTTCATCCGTAGAAGGACTCTTGGCTGGCACATTGGTAAGAGTCACAGGTAGGCTTGAGAGCTTGGTGCCTGCATTCACATCCCAGCCTACCACCAACCAGTTGTGTGATCCTGAGTGAGTTACTTCAGTTCCCTTATCTATAAAATTGGCTAATAACATCTGTCAAATGGGCATGTGGTGAGATCGGATGAAATATACATAAAATCCAGAATTCCACGTATAAATTCCTAGCTGTCATTGGGATTGAATAATATTATTCACACAAGAGCCCACACGCACGGACAGCCTCAGGCTCATCCTGTTCCCTAGGTGTGTTCTCTCTGCTGGTAGCTAGACTGTCCCTTGTTGCGGCCTTAGCTTCTTAAGGGAAGGTGCAGAGCGCCAGCTGTACAGGCCCAAGGATGTGTGCAAATCCAGCCTCCCCTATTTTCCAGGCTGCACCTTGGACAAACTGCTTGCTCTTCTCTGGGACTCAGTTTCCTTAGGATAAAAAGAGACTAACACGTTCTCAGCAGACCTCTTGTAAGCTGCAGATGAGGTAATAAGTGTAAACGACCAAGACCAGCACTAGGTAGACAGGAAGTGCTTTCAGTTACTTATTTTTATTTCCCATCTTCTAAGGCTTAGCCCCAAAGCTACATCCTCTGAATTTTCACTGGCTGGAATTAATCTCTCCCCATCTGTTCTCCCACAGTGCTTCCTGCATCTGCCAACATCTCAAACTTTGGTCCACTCAATTTTGTATTTTACCGTAGCTGAGAATTGGTCTAATTTGTCCATCACAAATTCTTTAGGGCAATAAACCTGTTTAGTTAACTTTTGTGTCTGCACAGAACTCAGCACCAAGTCTTGAAACGTAGCACTTATCAGCCCTTACTCAGTTACTTGGTGGGGGTGAGGGAGGGGATGCCTAACTGAGGCTTGGCAGCTGGGTAAGAAGTTGAGCAAGACTGTGTTTTTGGGGCCAGGGAGATGGCTCAGTAGAATAAGTGCTTCCCTGGCAAGCACAGGATCTTGAGTTCAACCCCTGGTTTTGAAAAAAAAATTTAGGGCTCCTTTCTCCACCTGATCTTTTCTTTTCTCTCCTGGGGCTAATGTGGTACAAAAAGATTTGGATTTGCTTAGCAGAAGCCAGAGGAGCAGACACAGAGTTTTTAAGGTTGCTTCTGTTTTAAGCCTTGGAGGATGGGTAGCTAATGGTCAAGAGGATGAAGAGAGATGTTCACTGGGCAAGATCTGGGACAGAAGCCAGTCTCCAGTACTTAGTCTAGATTTTGGCTCAGTAGATAGCTGCCACATTCAACTTCTTGCTGAGGACCTACTAACCGCTGATGCTATGCTGAAGGTCATGAAGGGTATGGAGTGAGAGTGTTGTAGTTTGGGATTTACAAGGAGAACAATGTAGGACACATAACTTATAGAATTATTTTATAATAGTCACCCAAAGATTTTATGTACAAAAAGAGTGCAGGAGGGGCTGGTGAGATGGCTCAGTGGTCTAAAGCACCTACTTAGAATAAGCTTAGCAAAGCACAGGGACCGCGGTTCAATCCCCCAGC